GTGCCCCCGGCTCTGGGTGACCCTCCTTGGGCGGGGTGTTGGACTGGGTGCCCCACAGAGGTCCCTGCCAGCCCCCGCCATGCTGGGATCCTGTGAATCGTGACATGGCTTAGCAGGCACGGTGGTGTTGGGTTGACGGTTGGACTTGGTGACCTTAGAGGTCATTTCCAGCCTTAACGCTCCTGTGGTTCCTTCTCCCGCCCAGCACCTGCGACGCCACGCTGGGAGATGCAACCACGGCGTTCAGCCAGCGGGAAGGCACCGCGCCGTGCCCACCCACTCACCCACGGCAGTGCGGCATGAAAAATAGGTGCAAGAGCAGAAGCGTGGTGTAACAGGCTGTTGTGACACTGAGACCTCACATCCCGGTCAAGGCGGGGATGGCGGAGGCAGGCGGGCAACTCTCCCCTCCCCACCTGGTCCAGGGCAGGTCCCTGGGTGGCTGCTGGCCAGGAGCAGCCGCGCCTGCCTCTCCCCCTTACCTGGCCGCCGTTTGCCTTCTCGCACCGGGTGCGGGAACCCACCGCCTTGGCACAGCATGAAAGCGCCTCACCAGCTGGCGTGAGGGAGTGATGTTGAAGCCCGGCCCAGACTTCAAAGAACCTTTTGCTTTTATCCCTACCCTCAGTCGGAAGACAGAGATCTTTCCACCAGCGGTTTTCAGCGTTTCAGAGGAGAACAAGGGTCTGCCTTGGTTTCAGGTGCTCCCCGCCACGTCAGACCCGCCCAGCCCGAAGGAGACAGCGATGGGGAAGGTTTCTTCCCGCGAGGTACCAGCACAGTCCTCTGGGCAGGGAAAAGAAACCGACACGCAGAGAAACGAACTGGAGTAGTTTAGTAAGCAGGTTATTTGTTTAAACGAGACTTTATTGAAGACATTTTAGAAGTTTATGTACAAAACAACATTCCCACCCCCGTATCAGGATGTTAGTCACCCACCGGGAACAAAGCAAGTGCCTGGTGTGTCCTGCCAGCCTGCGGACTCCTGAAGGTTGCCGAGGGCTTTACAGAAGTACCGGATTCACG